GGCTTTGGACACATCACATTTGAGCCATCTCACACGTTCATCAGAAAATTCAGGCTCGCTTCGAGACAAGATTGTCACGTGTCCGGCTCCTCGACCCAAAAGCCAGTGCACACAGGCCGTGCCAAGAGCGCCGCTGCCGCCAGTGACTACATATCGGCCTCCCTTGCGAATAGCATCTCTTGTCACAGTGCCATCTGGAACCCACTTCTCCAGCCGCGGTGCTTCCAGGACACCATCCACTACACGACAAATAGGATCTTCAGAGATCAGTGGCAGTTTCGTCTCTGCCAGGATGGACCTCACCGATTCCCATGTAGTGGCATTGACATGGACCACCTGATCAACATGAGACATAAACAATCGCAAACGGAGTCCGTCCGATTTGCACACGCACCATTCCATCTACATGATTCTACAACATTCCTGGAACTACATAGTCGCACATGTCTAGAGTCTAGATGATATGACAGTTATATGCCACGCCTGCACATCCAATGGCTGCTCGCACAAGGCGCTGCGAAGCATGCTGGACACTGCACTGAAGCAAGCCTCTGCGAAGGCCCCGTTGCCAGCAACCACAACAAACCAAGTTTCCTTGTTTGCTGCCGCTTGCTGCAAGACACGCAGCATCTCGATAGCTCGAAGCGTCAAGTCCTCTATCTCCTCTTCTTCTGCCTTTGCCTTCCAACAGGGAAGTGCCAAGACATGGCATCCATCGTGATTGGTCATTTTGACTAAGTCCTCTCCAATCTCTCCGCGCGAAATGATGAAGCTCTTCGCGCCATAGCTCAGTCGCTGCCAACCGAGTTGGTACAAATCCTGAGGTTGTCTGTGCACACTCAGACTTCTGGCTGCCAAACCGCGGCAAGAGGCCACAACCTTGCCCGTGCTTGTAACCAGAATCGCATCGCCTTTCATCAATCCCTTCTGGACATCAGTCAATCGAACCCATGCCCTCAATCTGGGCGCTTTGCCTTCAATGGGCACCTTTGAAAGACAACAGCTTTCCAAGCTGAATGGCACGCACATCCCAGCGCGATCTTGACCAAGCGCACCAAGCAATTGGAACGCCCCGTCAAGCAAGCTCCAGTGCGGAAATTGCAGCGCGTGCTCCCACGCCTCGACGTCTGCAGGCAAGGCCAGCTCGGCCACCGCAATTTTGTCATTGCGACGAGCATCCTGGAGTACACGAAAGCGTGGGCCCATCCGAACACCTTGTGATTCCAAGGAATGGTAGAAGTCTTCCAAGTTCACTTCGGCAAAGCTCAGGTCTTCTTTGCTGGGCAAGTCAAAAGGTGCCTTCGGCAACTCACGGCTGTTTACCACAGACGCTGCTTCAACAACGTCATGGCTCCCACAAAGGACAACAGCTCCAGCATCACGTAGGTTCACCTGAAGTTTTGCATCAGAAATCTTTGCTGGTGCCTTGAAGACCACACTCTTCATCTCTATCGTCTCTGCCGTTCCTCCTTGCACTGCCCTGGCACTGGCAAGCATTGCCAGCAGACTTGAAGCCGGCAGCAGGCGGTCTCCTAGTGGCACAGCAAGCCCACATGCCCCTAACCCGGAAAGCTAGTCCAGTCTATCTATGTTTATCTATCTATAGGAACCCAAACCAAAAAAAAAACTTGCAAAGAAAATGGAACCAGAATCCAAACATCCTTGCAACAGCTTGTGACATGACTTTCCGCAAACTCCTGTATACTATACGCGATAACCGATAACCCTCCTGCAACTTCATGGTCGTTGAAAAGGTGGCAAACGTCGTCAAGCTGCACAGCAAAATCTGATTCTCCATCTCTTCTGAGGAGTGGAATGAGCAACCGTCGCCAAGGTAGGAAAGTTTCGGATTTGCTGCGCTTGCCCTTGGCCCAATTGACTGCGCCGGAGCCTGTGGTGCCAGGCATCAAAAGCGCTTGGGCGTTGCTGCCACCAAAACCAAAAGATGACACTGCCCCCGACAAGGTCGCCGTGCCTTGTCTGAGGTCGGCACAGGCTTCGCTCACAATAATGTTGCTGGAGATGTGTTGGTTGAGACACTTCAGATGCAGATTCGGAGGCCCAGCTTTGTTGCGAAGAGTACAAATCAGCTTGAAGAGACCAGCCATACCAGCTGATCCTTCCAAGTGACCCATGTTTGATTTCACAGCTCCACAAACAGGCTTGCCTGACTTGCCAAAAACAGCCATGGTGGAAGCTGCTTCAAGAGGATCACCAAGCTTAGTTCCAGTACCGTGAAGCTCCACAACATCCACTGTCTGCAAAGAAGCCAAGGCCAAACTTGTTCGAAAGAGGTTCTCCTGCGCCTTCCCATTTGGAGCGGTGAGGCTGGCACTTCGCCCATCATGATTGGTTGCCACACTAAGAATTTCGGCAACCTTGGCATCTGCACTGGGCTGCAAAATCAGAGCTCCTACTCCCTCACCTCTGCAATATCCGTCAGCGGATGCATCAAGGGTCAGGCAGCGGCCAACTTTGGACAGCATCTTTGCTGCGCAAGATCCAATGAATGGCACAGGGCTCAGGATCACATGGGTGCCACCTACCAAAGCTTGAGAGCTTGGCAATCTCATCGCTGTAGCAAGCGCGACAAGGCTGGACGAGCAAGCTGTATCAATCGTCACGCTAGGCCCCTTCAAGTTCAGGAGGAAGCTAAGGCGATTGGCAGTGATCGCAGGGGATACAGCAGTGCCCATGAACGATGTAGCTAGGTGATCTTGGAATGACCAGTCATGATTGGCTTTGCCCACAACAACGGCAGCATCAGACCTTTCCAAGGCTTTGCAATTCGCCGAGACAGCTGTGTCCAAGAGAAGGCGTTGCTGTGGATCCATGGTCCTGGCCTCTGTTGCATTGATGTTGAAGAAGTTGCCAAACCACTCAACACCATCCATACAAGCTGCATGCTTCGTGTACGTCATACCCTCAGCCTCGATATCTGGAGAATAGTACACATCAAGATCCAGTCTGGCAAATGGTACACCTGTCACACAATCCAACCCTTGAAGCATACTGTCAAGGCCGAAACAGAACGGAAGCAAAGAGCTTGCTGAGACAAGAGCCATTTCATTGGTGAGCCCCACGGGCAATGCTTTCGAAGTTGTCTCTACAAGACCATGTTTTGTCATGCCCCTTTTGATCCTGTCCGCAATGGCACCGAGTGTCGGGCAATCAAATACAATAGTCACTGGCAACACTTGCCCAAATTCTCGGCTGAGGCGGCGGGCAAACTCCACTGCCAAGAGTGAATCCATGCCAGCATCCATCAAAGGCTCTTCTGCGCTGACTTCATGCCCCAGCATGGTTTCAGTGAGGTTCTTCAGTGTAGTCACCACTGCCTTATTGCCAGACAATGCGTTGCAGAAAGAAACATTCGACATCACAACGAAACCTGAACCAATTCGAATGGGCTGAAATCAGTGGGGATGGTGAAACATGCAGCACATCTATAGCGAAAGATGTCGACCGCGTATTACGTTGCTTTCACGGGCTGGAAACCACAAGGGACAAGTTTGGGAGACAGGACAAAACGGACGAGGTTTAATAAAAGGATACACTTTAGCAGGCCACAGCAACCCATGAGTACAGAGCATGGTTTACAAATGTGACTTGCAGCAGTCTAGCGCCGGCGCTGGCATACAGGCCTTTCAAGAGCATAGTCCACTGTATATATATACACATATTAAAGGTAAATTGCGAACTCTTCCTTGACACAAAAAGGGCTGCGAGTGCATTCTGCGATGCTGGAAATGCTATACACCTAGACTGCGATCTGCGTTGAAATTGTTTACACACTCCTTCTTGGTAGTGTGAGCGCTCGAATTTCTTTCCTAGCTCACTCTGCCACCATAAGTTTCTCTACTTCCATGTTTTCTCTCAATTTGTTTTCCTCTAAAGAACGGGGTTCCTTGAGGTCCTTGGCGCAGGTCTATCTGGATTGTCTCTTCTCATTACTGCACATTCTAGCAACTCTTCATACTTCTCCTTCTCATTCTCAACTTGATCTGCTACATCTTGTAGTCCTCTTCCTAACACTCCTAACAGGTCCCAATGTCTTTCACTTAGTTGTTCAATCTTTGTTTCAAGTCGGCCGCACATATGTATTGCTTGCTCTACCTCATTTTTCATTTGTTCTTATTTCCTGTTTTCAATCTTCTGTTCAATGGGCCTTATGATGGGATGATGGGGTGGCTCCATCTAAGGGCGCCTGCAACATCACACGATGACCCTGAAATTGGCCTGCTGTTTGTTGTTCTCGTATCTTCCAAGCTCCTTCTGGCTAAGAAGTTTCCTGCGTTCATCTCACCCAATACATCATAACTGATTACAGTTTGAAGATCTGGTACTTGTCGCTCCACAAAGCCTCCATTGAGAATCAATGGGGAACGTCTATTCTTCTTTCATGGTCTTCATTCTCTCTGATCATACTCTCAAGTTGTACCATTCTAAATTCTGCTTCGTCTGTTCTGAAACGAGTAGTTTCCATCGCGTATTCACAGCGGGTCTCAATATGCTTCTAAAGCTTCCACATTCAAAAAATCACTCCTGCAAAACCCATGCTTCATCATGATGGCCACAATGAACAATTTTTTCAGCTTTCATTGGATTCTTCCACTTCTTCCAATCCACACTGGTCGTCTTCCTCTTCTTTCATGAATGCTTCTGTAACCATTGGCGGCGAGCACTCAAATGCTACCATTCTCACAATCATCTTGGCAATCTTGTGGGCCTTTCCTGCAAAGTTCTTTTTCTCCTCATACACCTGTCTCTCACGCTCACCTACTCTTGTTTGCTCTTCACTGCGCCAATACCCAATGAGGTTCATCAAGTATCTGCTTCCTTGTAAGTGGCTTTGTACTGATGTCTGCCATGTTGCTACCTGTTGGCACTTGCACCATATTGAACTCTTTCCTGTTCTGAATCCATAGCAACTTTCCATCCAAATGTCTCACCTTTCCAACTCCCCTCATCACCACAAGTTGGCGCGCACTTGAAGAATCTGCGAAGATATGATGGTCCACCATTGTCCCATGCCCAAACTCAAAAACTGAGCGAGTGTAGATACCATCTGTTGCAGAGGAAACTACTGCGCGTAACCCTGCTTCACATGAAGATAAGCTAATGATCTTCTGTGTCCTACTGCTGTTGAACAATGGGCAACTGTTCAACGCATGAAGTCCTCCTGACGTTGACTTTCTGTGGCTTTTGTTTCCACTCCAGTCTGAATCTGAAAATGTTTCCAAGCACCAATAGCTTTCCCCTTCCTTCACATAGCCTTCTCCTGCCTGTGGAAATTCAACTGCTAGACAATAGTCCATAGTCTTCTTCAAGTATCCTGGGAACTTCTTCAAATGGTGAAATGACATAGCTGTTGGGTTTGACACTCTTGAAGCTAATTCCTTCACTGTAAACGCTGCATCATACCTTTCTTGGCATAGGTAGATACCTGATCCAATGTTTCTGAATAGGCTAACCTTCTCTTGCTCACGCAGAACTTCTGATTTGTCTTCCATCTGAATTGAGCTGCCTGGTGGTAGTTGCTGGAATTTGATCTTCCCATCTGCTCTTCATAGGCTGCTGGATGTAGTTACCTGGCTGGATCCATAGTCCATCTTTCTCTAGTTTGTACTCCTCAGGAAGCTGAACTCATCACCAGTCTTCTTAATTTTGCTCAAGCTGGTGTCAAACCTGTCTTGAATCTTTGGAAGAAAGGTTTCATTGATGTACTCTGAACAACCTGTGAAAATCAAGCCATCCACATGGATCAAAATGATACTCTTCTCATTTCTTCCCAGGCATGGGCACTCAGCGCTGAACCTGTAATTGAGTTCCTCGGTGAGGTACTCTGTGAAAAGTCAAACCACGCTTTTTCTCCAACTCTTTGTCCATGTAAATTTCTCTTCGCTAAGAATTCTTTCCTCTCAAGTTTACCTTCAACGGCTTCTCTTGTGGAACTTGCAAAAACGCATCTTTCACATCAAGACATCCCAGAATCTGGGAAAATGCTACTTCTCCCGCTCTTGCTTCTTCCTCCTCGCTAACTCTCTGCAAGAAGATTGTGAGTACATATCCTGAAGTCGCTGGTAAGGAAACGGCATCTCTCTTTCCTTCAGCAAAAGCAAATTCTCTTGCAACTAGTCTTGATCTTTTCTTCTACCTCTTGGTTGTTGTTCCATCTTCATGGTGGTACGGTTTCTTTCTCCAGTCATACACATTGCGCGTTGTTGAGAAACTGATTCCTGCGCCACCTTCTGGTCTCTCTAGCCCTTCTTGTTCTGGTTCATGTTCTCCATTACGCCATAACATTCAAGTCCATTCACTTCCTCTTCTTCTTCTTCTTCAACCCCTTCTTCTCCCCAGTCCTCTTCATCAACTTTTTCTGCAAGTGGGGATAGCTCTTCATCTACATGATAAAGGTTTTCACCTGCAACTTTCACCACATTGACCTTGGCTTTCTTGCTTGAATCATCTGATGGCCTGAGCTTCTTCATTGGACTTTCTTCCTCGAGCAATCCAAACGCTTCCCTTGGTCTTGAAGGCGCTGACGGCGCTCTCAATGGAGATGGTATAGGAGTAACTGGATTGAGTTGTCCTGCTGGCACCGATGTAGATGGGAGTGATTTCTCCTTCTCAAGCGCCTTCTCATCTGCAAAGACAACTTTCTGCTTCTTACTTGGTGTTTCTTCTCCACTTGGCTTTCTTTCACCTCCATCTCTTTTCATTGTTTCCACAGGGATTTCCAGCGAGGCTGGAACCGGCATTTAGTACCCATTCCAAGCGCGCCGAAATGCGGAGACTGCGCAAGGCGCAAGGAGTGTCAGCTTGTTCACCATGGGTCTATGCTCCTTGGCTCAGATTTCCTTGCAAATTTCTGCCGCAAATTCTCCTCGCGACGCAACGCCGATTGCAAAAGCAATTTCGTCAGACTGCCTCCATCGTGCAGTGGCCGGACTTGAAGCTCAATTGGAGCGCGGCCTAAAACGTGCTCTGCCGTTTTTCAAGATCGTACGCCAGAGCTTGGAGGCAGAAACTTTTTCATAGTGCTTCTCAACGATGTTTACCCTGTATGAAGATTGATACTTTTAGTTTGCTTGCCAAAGTTGTCATCCGCTTTGGTTGCACTCTGAATCACTTCCTCCTTCAAGAACTTTTGCCGTAACTGCCTCTGCATCTTCATCCTTGGGCTTCAACAATTCTCCTTCCCCATGATCTGCCAAACTCAAAAGGGATAAAGCTACATCAGCTCCACTGTCAATGATGGCCACATCCTCATTCTCTTCCCCAGTCTCCTCACCACGGGTTCATCATCTGAGGTCACCCTCCTCAAATTCCTTGATCTCCCTCTCATCATCAACATCATCATCATCATCATCGTCTCCAATGTAGAAATGAATCGCTCGAACTCCATGATCTTCTACCTCATCATCTCCTTCTCGCAGGTCAAAGATGATTCGCTCGCTGGTCTCAATCCTTCTAACCACTGGTTTGGTCTCTGCTGAGCTACTCTGCTGGCTAACATTGGCTTGCTGTTGACCAACTGTATGAGTAGTCACTGATGCTCCTCTGAAGATGAATGGGCCGGATCACTTGCTACCTGTCCAATATTGTTCCTCCATCAGTCTGTAACAATATGTCCTGGCTTTCCACAAGTGTAACACGTTGTCGCACCTGTGCCTTTCTGGTCTTTTTCCTTTCTGATCTCCTTGTCCTTTCTTTCCTTTGCCCTTCGCATCTTTACCTTTGCCTTTCTGATGGTCATTCTTGCCCTTCTTGCCTTTTCCTTTGGCATCTTAGGCTCGATCAATGTCCATTGGCATGGGTCCTTGATAGTCTGTACTGCTACTTGCCACCATTCAAGTAGCCACTTTTGCTGAGAGCGATCCCATTGCAACACTTGTTCCCTCAAAGTTGAGTATTCAACATTGCCGGCTACGCCTCTCAAAAGAATAGCAAATTTCAACTCTTCTTGAATTGCCGTCCCTGCCTTGACCGTCTCGTCAAATACTCCTTCAAGCTTCAGAAGTTGAGGTTGTAGTGCACTGTTCAATTGAAAATGCTGGCCATGTAGTGGCTGCTCCCAAAAGTGCTAATCCTCTAGCTTTGGAAGTAGGTTTCAAAGCTTTGTTTAAACCTCTCCAGGCATCAAATCCATTGGAGTCCTGTAGAGCTTTAACCAATCGCAGCGCTCTTCCACTCATCATTGAAGCTAACAATCCATAGAGCTTGATGCACCTGGTCTTCTCCTCTGTGGTTGCCAAGTCCACATCAAACTTCTCATTTGGCTTTTCATGAATCTCCTTCAAGCCCTTCACGTAGGCCTCATCAACTGCACTCAAATATTTCTCAACTACCCATGACCACTCTCTAAGCGCTTTGACCTCTTCTTCTTGTGACTTATAGTCAAAGATGTTGGGCTTTGCAATGAGCTTGACCAATCAGATGTTGATGACTTCTTGTCCTCAGCTGCTTTCTTCACTGCCTCAGCTGCTGATGTTGTTGCTAGCGTACTCTGCGCTATAACATTGGATCTCATTCATCTCCACAGCGCACGATTGTCTTTCTGACACAACATACGGGGTACAGAGCTTCGCCCACAGCAGTCTATCATCAGTCCAGCTGTTTTGGGCTCCAAAGGGCCCAAATCTATGGCTCGAATCGCACTGGGATCCCTGTGACCTAGAGGCTTTTTCTCTGGAGCTCAAAGGGGGTTCCCCTTATCCATGCTCCTACTATGCGAACTTTTTCCTTTGCACAAAAAGGGCTGCGAGTGCATCCTGTGGTGCTGAAAATGCTATACACCTAGACTGTGATCTCCATTGAAATTGCTACACATAAATGTGTGTATATATTAAATTCTAAAGGTTTTATGCGCGTACCACATCAGGTTACGAAATGTATCGCGCCTCTTTCGGGAACCTGTGGCCAGCGGCTCCGATACTGGCTCAGTGGGTTCCCACCATGCGTTGCATCGCTGAACCCGTGAAGCGTTCGGCCACAGGTGAGAGAAGCTCTCGAGCTCGTTGCCCAAGCAGATCATCTTTTCTTGGGATGGAAAAAAACATGGGGGTTCTTGGTGGGCACAACTTGAAGCATTGAAGCTCTTGTCCTTGCGAGGTTTGAATGGTCGGTCCTTGACTACAACGGCAGCACTGCGACTGCGCTAAACCCACGTGGTCACGTGGTTGATGTCTCTACTGCGACAAACATGGCAGCACTGCGCTGCAAAAAGGAAGGAAAAGGTTAGCTTAATATTGAACCTGACCCAAGCATCATTTTCTCGTAAATCTAGCGGAGTCTAAAAACAAAACTGAACCTGTGTGGACCCACTTGCTACGGTACTTTACGCCATCCTGTGATGCGACTGATGTGCACACCAGAGATCTAAGAATCCAAGACATTGGATTCTGAAGCGTCCTGGTAGTACTCACTCATCGCCACTTAAACTTCTAGACCGTTCAACTCGAAACACTCAAAGGCACCTGGTCTATGATTTGAAGGTGAATCACGACAAAAAAACGATTGGCTACCTCAGGACGGGGCCGATTGCGGGAACGGTTCTGATCTGGCAAGTTCTGACTTGGAAACAAATCTCTTGGCCGGCGCAAAGTTGGAGGTCAAACTGGAATGGCTAGGCCACTGGAAGCGCTCCCAAGCTACTGAAACTGCAGAGATGACTCCTCCAGCACCACTCCGAACAAGGTGTTCTAAAATTGCAACGCCTTGGTCGTTGCTCCACGCGCCAAAGCCGAAATCCCTTGCGCGCCTCAAAGCCTTCTCGTTCGCTGCCATGCCAGCTTCCTTCCAGGGGCCCCATTGAACGCTGAGCATCCTGGTACCTTGAGAACGCACGGCAAATGCGCAATAGCCATCAAGGGCTGCGTTTGCTGCCGAATAAGGCACCTGACCAGGGCTTCCCAGCACCGCAGCAACCGATGAAAAGAAGACGACAAAGTCTGTTGGTTCCAGCAACTTGGGCAACAGCAAGGCAGCCAACACCTTGGGGCCAAAAGCCATGCGGATGTTCTGCTGTGTCTGCTCAGCCAACATCTTATCAGCCAACACCCCAGCAGCGTGAACGATGCCGTTGACATCTTGGGAGTCTTTGCATTTTGCAGCTGTGGCTTTCAAATCAGCGGCTTTGGACACATCACATTTGAGCCATCTCACACGTTCATCAGAAAACTCAGGCTCGCTTCGAGACAAGATCGTCACATGTCCAGCTCCTCGACCCAAAAGCCATTGCACACAGCTTTCACCAAGAGCACCGCTGCCGCCAGTGACTACATATCGGCCCCCCGTGCAAATAGCAGCTCTTGTCACAGAGCTGTCCGGAATCCACTTCTGCAGCCGCGGTGCTTCCAGCACACCATCCACTACACGACAAACAGGATCTTCAGAGATCAGTGGCAGTTTCGTCTCTGCCAGGATGGACCTCACCGATTCCCATGTAGTGGCATTGACATGGACCACCTGATCAACATGAGACATAAACAATCGCAAACGGAGTCCGTCCGATTTGCACACGCACCATTCCATCTACATGATTCTACAACATTCCTGGAACTACATAGTCGCACATGTCTAGAGTCTAGATGATATGACAGTTATATGCCACGCCTGCACATCCAATGGCTGCTCGCACAAGGCGCTGCGAAGCATGCTGGACACTGCACTGAAGCAAGCCTCTGCGAAGGCCCCGTTGCCAGCAACCACCACAAACCAAGTTTCCTTGCTCGCCGCTGCTTGCTGCAAAATCCGCAGCATCTCGATAGCTCGAAGCGTCAAGTTTTCTATCTCCTCTTCTTCTGCCTTTGCTGTCCAACAGGAGATTGCCAACATGTTTGCTCCTTGACTAGTATCTATGAAAACGGGCTCCAAGCAATGAAGACCCGCAGGTCCTGTCAAGGAGATCTGATTGGTGACCTTAGCCCCTACTCTTTCCCACCTCGTGGCATAGGTCCAAGCAGCCGCGCTTGACCATGCGAAATGGCCTCCCAAGTCATGGGGTTTGCTCGAAGGCTTGCCTCTGGTGCCAGGCATCAAAAGCGCTTGGGCATTGCTGCCACCGAAACCAAAAGATGACACTGCCCCCGACAAGGTTGCCGTGCTTTGTCTGAGATCGGCACAGGCTTCGCTCACAATAATGTTGCTGGAGATGTGTTGGTTGAGACACTTCAGATGCAAATTCGGAGACCCAGCTTTGTTGCGAAGAGTACAAATCAGCTTGAAGAGACCAGCCATACCAGCTGATCCTTCCAAGTGACCCATGTTTGACTTCACAGCTCCACAAACAGGCTTGCCTGACTTGCCAAAAACAGCCATGGTGGAAGCTGCTTCAAGAGGATCACCTAGCTTAGTTCCAGTACCGTGAAGCTCCACAACATCCACTGTCTGCAAAGAAGCCAAGGCCAAACTTGTTCGAAAGAGGTTCTCCTGCGCCTTCCCATTTGGAGCGGTGAGGCTGGCACTTCGCCCATCATGATTGGTTGCCACACTCAGAATTCCAGCGACCTTGGCATCTGCACTGGGCTGCAAAATCAGAGCTGCTACGCCCTCACCTCTGCAATATCCGTCAGCGGATGCATCAAGGGTCAGGCAGCGGCCAACTTTGGACAGCATCTTTGCTGCGCAAGATCCAATGAATGGCACAGGGCTCAGGATCACATGGGTGCCACCTACCAAAGCTTGAGAGCTTGGCAATCTCATCGCTGTAGCAAGCGCGACAAGGCTGGACGAGCAAGCTGTATCGATCGTCATGCTAGGCCCCTTCAAGTTGAGGAGGAAGCTAAGGCGATTGGCAGTGATCGCAGGGGATACAGCAGTGCCCATGAACGATGTAGCTAGGTGATCTTGGAATGACCAGTCATGATTGGCTTTGCCCACAACAACGGCAGCATCAGACCCGTCCAAGGCTTCGCAATTCGCCGAGACAGCTGTGTCCAAGAGAAGGCGTTGCTGTGGATCCATAGTCCTGGCCTCTGTTGCATTGATGTTGAAGAAGTTGCCAAACCACTCAACACCATCCATACAAGCTGCATGCTTCGTGTATGTCATGCCCTCAGCCTCGATATCCGGGGAAAAGTACGCATCAAGATCCAGTCTGGCAAATGGTACACCTGTCACACAATCCAACCCTTGAAGCATACTGTCAAGGCCGAAACAGAACGGAAGCAAAGAGCTTGCTGAGACAAGAGCCATTCCATTGGTGAGCCCCACGGGCAATGCTTTCGAAGTGGTCTCTCCAAGACCATGTGTTGTCATGCCCCTTTTGATCCTGTCCGCAATGGCACCGAGTGTCGGGCAATCAAATACAATGGTCACTGGCAACACTTGCCCAAATTCTCGGCTGAGGCGGCGGGCAAACTCCACTGCCAAGAGTGAATCCATCCCAGCATCCATCAAAGGCTCTTCTGCGCTGACTTCATGCCCCAGCATGGCTTCAGTGAGGTTCTTCAGTGTAGTCACCACTGCCTTATTGCAGGACAATATGTCTTCCACACCGCCTTTTGATGGAATGTCATTTAAACAGAACTCGCAGCACGGGGCTCGCAGCTTTTGGGTTAACTCGCAAGTTCGAACAGCGGGCGCAACTGTGACGGACGGCTCGAAGGTCTTCGGCTCGAAGTTCGATGCTTTTTTGAGCGGCTGCGAAGTTAAGAGGACTTGGATAGGATGGATGGGTTGGGATTTATCAAGTTTGGGGGAGAAGGCTGATTGCAAGCGGTTCTTGTCTTTGCACTAAGGAGTTCCTTTGACAGATTTGACGTCTTCACACGAACTTCCAGCAAGGTGTTGATGTCACTCGATGAGGAGCGTGACGCATTGTTTTTGCACGTTGAAGGTTGAAGGCCAAAATGACATAGCCCAACGGTAATGTTGAGTATGCTGAGTAAGCTTTCAAAAGTAGGTAGTAGCTAATGAAGCTTAAGTGGGCCTGGGGGTGGAGGGAGTTTCCGTGAAGAAGCCTAAGCTTGGATGCTGTGGTTCCTAGAATTTTGTGGAAACTTGAGTCTGAAAGCAAGACGGCAAGGCTTTCTTGTTTGTCTTTTTGGAATGCTCTGTTCAATCGTCAACCGCCCAACAACCTAGTACGAGTACGAGCCTCTTTTCTAGCAGTTCATTCACGTCGTTTCCACAAGTTTGCTGAAGAATTCTGAGGCGTCTTCTCAAAGAACGTCTCTTCACAAACTCTGTTTGCGAACTTCAACTTCAACTCGCAAGCACACTGGGACCAACCTGCATGAAGAGACCTGGAAGGGACGCATACAGCAGACCTACACGCTATGCTTCAAGACACCGTCAGAAAGGTCGACAAGGCCTTTGTAGAGTCCAGCCTATCACGCAAAAGAGGGGGGGCTGTCAATTTCCCTCAATCCACCACAGACCGCTCTGGACTTCGTCGACCCAAAGAGATGAGCCGTACCAGGACCAGGTGAGCCGCTGAAGCAGCCACCGCCGGTGAACCAAAAGCTTGTATATTAGCATTGAGATCGTTAGTACTTCAACGCCGGTGTTCGGAGATGTGGCCGGCCGACCGCTGCGTAAACTGCATTGACCTCAAAAACACGCAAATCTTGTATAGTACAAAATCAGTCTTGATGGGAAATGAAACACAGCTGCAAAGACACGGAAGCCCCATTCCTTAACCGCACCTTAGGAAAGGAATCTGTCTGGAAATGCAATCCTACCACCAAAGAAGCTTTTCATGTGAAACAAAGTGAGACCTCAAGAAGAAGGCGCTTGCCACAGAGTTCACTTGACATGCAATCGAGTTAGTCACGCGCGCAACGTCGTGGGGAGCAATGTTTTGTCGAACCTTCGACTCACGTTCTGTCGAACTTAACGAGAACAAGTCCGTGTCCTCTGACTCTACAAATGCCACGAAAACACCATAAACAAAAGGGAAAATGAGCACGAACAAAACAAAGTTGGAAGACTTATAGAACAACACAGCCTGCGCCAAAGACTTGCATAGAGTATCATAGATTCTTCAAGTGCATCAACAGGCGGCTTGTCACTGAGCTGCTTTTAACACGATTGCAAACACACGGCTGCTTGTTGAGCGATTGCGTGTCAACAATTTGGTTTCTTCAGGCGTAATTGCATGTTGCTGCTTTGGAAGAGCGGCATCCGTTCCCTCCAATACCTGGCGCCACATTCCCGCTTTTGCTAAGTCACTGCTTCGGCCGTTCAGCCAACACCTAAACAAGTGGCCATATTGCCAAGCAACTTAGATCCCCCAAAACCACTGTAGCGCTTCACGTTTCGTCGTTGGACCTGCCGCTTCTGATGCATGACTTGAATATGAGTGAGGCATGTCATGTCACAATAAAAAACAAGATTGGCTACCTCAGGACGGGGCCGTTTGCGAGAACGGTTCTGATCTGGCAAGTTCTGACTTGGGAACAAATCTCTTGGCCGGCACAAAGTTGGAGGTCAAACTGGAATAGCTAGGCCACTGGAAGCGTTCCCAAGCTACTGAAACTGCAGAGATGACTCCTCCAGCACCAATCCGAACAAGATCTTCCAAAATTGCAAAGCCTTGGTCGTTGCTCCACGCGCCAAAGCCGAAATCACTTGCGCGCCTCAAAGCCTTCTCGTTCGCTGCCATGCCAGCTTCCTTCCAGGGGCCCCATTGAATGCTGAGCATCCTGGATCCTTGAGAGCGCACGGCAAATGCGCTATAGCCATCAAGGACTGCGTTTGCTGCCGAATAAGGCACCTGACCAGGGCTTCCCAGCACCGCAGCAACCGATGAAAAGAAGACGACAAAGTCCGTTGGTTCCAGCAACTTGGGCAAAAGCAAGGCAGCCAAGACCTTGGGGCCAAAAGCCATGCGGATGTTCTCCTCTGTCTGCTCAGCCAACATCTTATCAGCCAACACCCCAGCAGCGTGAATGATGCCGTTGACATCTTGGAATTCTTTGCATTTTGCAGCTGTGGCTTTCAAATCAGCGGCTTTGGACACATCACATTTGAGCCATCTCACACGTTCATCAGAAAA